TTATGGCCTTTTAACTTTTAAAACTGTTATCATAAGTGATAAAATGTTCTTAAACCTATTTCAAACTGTACCCCATGGATTAATGAGGTTATCGCTCAATGCTAGGAACCTTAAGACCCGCCCCGTTCTCTAGTTCTATCAATAAATTCTTTGTACAGAGCAGTTTGTGCATTTTGATTTATTTATATGTGGTTAAGTAATATTTTGTTGGGTGGAAAATTGAATAACCGAGGCATGAAATGTTTTCAATAGAACATTCATTTTTATTTGAGAAAAAGAACAAATATGAATAAAAGTTTACATAATAGTCTTTTTACCGTTAATTTTTCCGAATATGAAGGAATATATTTCAATTAAAATATATGTTTTCTTCTTCTATTGATATTTTCTTGTCAAAATGAAATTTCATTGATTTCAACTGCCTACAGGTACAATAGAATAAATCCGATCGAACTTTTCAAGATAACCGATTGCACAAAAAATAAATTACCTAAAAACTAACTTTTACAACAAAAAAGCAGATGTCCTTTCAAATTAGCAGTCGATTGCAAACCCGTCTCAAAATGTTGACTTTTAGCAGAATAAATCAGCCTAAACAATAAACATGAGTACATATTTAAAGAATGCAAAAAGTGGGGTTGAAAAACACCGATGCTCCCTTATTTAGCTTATGGCGAAGTTAAGGTTTCTGAAATGCAAGTCAATTTCCAAGGTCAATACAATGTATATCAAAAATGTTGTTACCAAAAAGAAAAAATGTTTCATTTACTATACGAGTATATGAGAAATATGAAGTTCAAGGACCAACCACTCAAAAATTATGGCAAAAGTTACAGTTTTTTTTTAAAGATGGTCAAACTCCAAGGTCAAGTTTTAAGGGTCAAAATTAATGGTACCCAAGAAAAGGTCTTGTCTTAAGAAACATACATATTTAAAAAAGCCCTGGCACCAACTGTTCAAAAGTTATTACCAAGGCCTAAGGTTTTTTGAAAGCACATGTAGGTAAAATCAAGGTCAAATGCCGTATAGCGGGTTATTTTAGCGGGGTGTTAATTTTGGCTTATTTTGGTGTTTTGATGGTAGCCCATCAAAGAAAATCTTGTCAAAAGGAATTTAACCTTGAAATATGCAAGCCCTGGTACAAACTGTTCAAAAATTATAGCCAATGTTTAAGTTTTTAAACAGTTGGTCTAAGGTCAAAGTAAAAAGTTTGATAATATTTATACCAAGGAAAGGTCTTTTCACACTTAATAAATCTGCGAGGTATGAAAGCCCTAACACCAACTATTCAAAAGTTATGGTTATAGTTAAAAATAGTAATTTTTTGCAAAAGTGGGCCAATCTCCAAGGTCAATAGGTCAGATATATTCACAAAAGAAAGTTTCTGTCACAAGATATAATTATGTGAAATATGACAAGGCTCAACCGAACAGGAGTTACGGGTTAAAGTTTCTGACAGAAAGACGGACGGAAAGGGCCAAAATATATAACCCCGAATCTTCGAGTACGTGGGAATAAAATAGATTTAGTTATTATCCCGTCGCAAAGAAGTTGGAAGGGATATAGTGGCACAATCGTATATTTGTTCGTCGGTGAGAGAGTTAATTCTGTACGAAACGTAAAATATGCATCAGGTTGGATAATTTTGCTCTTTGCTAGGGGGATGCTCCGCCTTGTGGTACCGGTTTGTTTCGCTTGAAATACTGAATGCTAAAACCGACGTCGCTCTGCACGTGGTTTAATTTTTCTAAACTTCGCGCCAGGACCCATGAAGTTGTAAGGGCGGGGCAGACTTAAACCTGTGGTTTGCGACGATTAGTAAAACATTAAGTACTTTTTGAATTAAAGTACCACACAAGCTTGAATTCAACAAAGAACTTCAGAATTTTCTGTATAGGTGATTGATGACATTGTGAATGCAAGTAGGTATCATTTTTTCCAAGTCGGAATATATCTATGTCTTTGAAAATACATTGTCGTGATTTGATTATTTTCATGCTCAGTTTCATTAAAATTCAATTGTTATTTCCTGTGTTGTTATTCTTTATTACATGAATGTTTTAGTAGGAATTTTATACTACAGTATGAATCGCTTACCTTAAAAATTTGCGTCGTCGAAGCATTGAGCCAAAAATAAAACGATTTCCTAACAGTATAAACTAAATTCCAAAATTCTCGCGGTGCACGTGCAACATGTGCAAATAAAGTTGATGATAACAGGTCGTAATTTACATGTATTTATCAGTATCCATGGCGACTTGTACAAGTTTGACCCAAGATTAAAAGAATCAACACAGCAAAGTTCCTCATACCGTTTTGTCTCATTTTTGTTTGATAAATCGAGTTGTAATCCAAAAGCATTAGATTAGAGGTCTTGCTTTAAAAAAAGGACAAATATCGCAGGCTTAAGGTGGCGGTTAGGTTTGACAATCTATTGCAGTTCTTTGGGGACCTTTGGCAGATGCGATATTTTGTTAAGTTAAAAGGTCACAAATATCAGCTTGATCAATAAGATTCTATCTAATATTGTCAGATCAGAGGGGTTTTTTAATCAAAGATTATTACCTGAAAACACTCGTTTACCAGGAGTTATTTTTTTAAGCAAGATGTTTGTCAAAATAAGCGACACCGAATTTCAAGTAACTGATGTCTATATTATGGTAAAACAAAAACATTTTGATAAATCAACCCCTTGTTCCCTCCTCAAGTTTATTTCTTATACAGGAGAAATACAGAAATAAAGTGCAAATACATAAGTCGCTTCCTCCGTCTCTTTCAAATATAAACGTTAAACCTTTCTTTAAATATCAATCAATCTAATCTCTTGACCTGAGTTGGAGTTTGCTTGATGATGGAATAGTAACGAAACTTTTCTATTACATGTATTTACATTAACTGCAAAAAATCATCATATGTTCACAAAACTAATTCAAATATATTTTCTTTGAAAATATTAATATCCAGAGAAAAAATACTAAACAAGTAATTAAGTTTGTGACAACCATGAATTCCCTTTTGGCTGTTTGTCAGCTAACGGAATACAGAATTTACTTAGTATTTCAGACACTGTACATGGGTTAATCAAATACCTGAATATTCATAGCTATTAGAATAAAACATTTGCTTTCGACATATTATGCAAATGCAAACTTAAGGTGATCAGCACTCGCTGAACTAACGACAGGGCGTAAAAAATATACATGTATGTAGTGTACAAATCTTCTAAAAATAAGTAAAAACAAAAGCAAGCAACACTTCTTTTCATATATATTTATGTAGAATTGTCTACGTCGAATGGGAAAAATGAAGTTCAGTACTACATAATATTTTATTTTTTGAAATATGAACTTGGTGTACTAAGGGACCAACTGGAAAATGAGGTTCCTTATCCAGATTTTAATGTACATGTAAGATGGAGACTTTTCAAGTGTCTCCGGTTCATTGATAAAAAAAAAATAGCCTCTTGGGCAATGGAATGGCAACAGGAAAATGCACAGGACGTAGTTTCAATGCAATCTCCAAACTATATCTGTAATTTTGTTTGTTTGTTTGTATCTTGTTTAGCGTCCCTCTCGAGAATTTTTTACTCATTATGAAGACACCAACATATGCCGGTGGAGAGCTGCAAATTTTGTCCTATACTCGGCACTCAGTGCCATTGAGCAGAGAGGGTTCTTTTTCGTGCCAGCACCTACTGCGACACGGGACCTCGGTTTATTCGGTCTCATCCAAAGGACCGGTCTGGGATTCGAACCCGCGACGCAAGGATCTATTCCTTACTTCGCGACTCTAGAGCAGACGCTCTATCCACTGCGCCATCTGTAATTTTGAATGAATACATAAACGTGTTTTGTGATCCTCTTTTCAAATATTGTGAGAAGAAAAATGTATGGTTAAATGTTGAACATAAAAGTTTTTCCATTCTAAAAATCTTCATCGGTTACATAAGATAGAAGAGATCAACTGCTAAAACTGGATACAGTAAAACACGCTTATATATTAGGAGGTACCAAAGACGGACGATATAAACGATACCTTCGTTAAATCTGATAAGTTTACATTATATTTAAAAGCCAGCGGAATGAAATTCGCTGTAAGTTTCAATTCGTTATAAGCATATTCGATATAAACGTGTTCTACTGTATCTCGAATTTTCCCTGTTCCAAGACATTAATCTTTCTTTATCATTTTTGTATTAAAAGTTAATTACCCGGTATGTTTGAGGGGACAAGGGGTAGGAAGGGGACGTAGCTATCTGCCTCAAAGTTTTCAAAAATGCCAAAAATTGTTCATGTCAATGATTACAATCATCATTTCTATCAAGATATCAATGCTTGATATTTCTCAGAAAAATTCTTTTGGAAGACTAATGTAAGAGTATTTGGATAAATTAAATAATGCATTGGTTGTAAATAAAAGAGCATTTACATATTGTTACAAATAATTTTTTTTTAAAATGCGTAGATTACCAGATTTGCCTAGTTATTGTACATATAGGGTGGAGTGGGTGGGGGGAACAAAAGGGAACTTTTCTAGGTGTACACATAAAAGATTAAAAGGTCTGAATTGAATAGAATTTAATCTGAATGGAAGAAGTTTACGATTTTCGAATTTAAAATTTTTAGAGTATTTTAAAATTTTTAAAATTTAAAATGCATATTCTATTACATTTCAAACTATCATTTTTTTAAATACAATTATCATGACTCATTAATCATCAAAAACGAAAAAAAATTCTTAATAAAAAATATTACACTTTTTCTCAATTTAGAATATGATCCTAGAATATGCAGTTCCGTACAAATTATGTAGTCAAAAAATAAATAATGCGGAATGCAATTTTGTGAGTTATATAAAACATACCAAGAGTTCGTGATAGGGGCACAATATTCACCAATCATATTAATACACAGCGAGGTTTAGACGTGTACTTGTTTTCTGTAGCCGTGCCTTGAGCGGTTGAACAAGAGTCGGGCCTATCTCACTTCGGGTGCGTTGTTTCACTTTATTGGATGACTTAGTTGACGCATCAGAATATATAAAAAGCCCCGTCTCTCATCGTAACAGTCAGAGGGCAAGCTGTGTGGGGGCTGCATGGTATGCATTTCATTTATATTGCTATGGATTATAGTCCAACTACAATACTATATAATGGACAATATTCGTTTTTTTTTTATTTTCGTTTTTTTTAAATGATTCAATTTCAAATACGAAATAAATATATGAAACGAAAATCCTCGTAAATGAATAACCAAATTGAAAAAAAAGAAGATTTTTTTTAAAAGCCGTGTTTTTAACAGTACATAATATTTATGTATATATTCTAACTGGTCATACTTAAAATTCGCTAAAAGTTATAACTTAATTCTGTTAATTTTCATACGGCAAATATCTGTATATCAATTTCTACCTCCTCTCTCTCTCTCGCCGCAGAAAGCAGCATGAGGTTTCTTATAATATTGGCTGCGGCCCTAGCGGTGGTTAGGGGCGGATCCTATGGAGGGGGATACGGTCATAAGGGGCATGGCGGTGTACACTATGATGTTCCTGTTGGTGCCGGCATAGGCCTAGGAGCCGGTTTAGGAGGAGGCTACATGACAGGAGGCGGCCTTGGCGGTGGTGTAGGAGGGGGTTATGTCGGCGCAGGCGGTCTTGGAGGCGGTGTAGGAGGAGGCTACATTTCAGCAGGCGGTTTAGGGGGCGGCTATGCCGGAGGAGTCGGTCTTGGAGCCGGTATGGGAGGGGGCTATGCCGGAGGAGTCGGTCTTGGAGCCGGTATGGGAGGGGGCTATGCCGGAGGAGTCGGTCTTGGAGGGGATATTGGAGTCGTAGAGGATATATATGTTGGGGGTGCCGGGGGACTCGGTGGTGTGGGTGGTGTCGATGTCTATACCGGAGGCGACGGCAGAGGACTGTACGATACGGAAATATACGATACCGGCGTCGGAGGCTATGATGTAGACTATGATTATTACGGTGGTATGGGTGGATATGGAGCAGGCTTAGGATATGGAAACGAGGTCACAGTTCTCACCAGAGGTATGCTTTTTAACACATGCCATATAAATTCACATGAAATGATTACAGTAAAACTCAGTTGCAACGAAATCAATAAGACCTATGAACTTTCTTTGATCCGTAATTCAATATATCCGTGTAGGGAATTCAAAAAATGAATGTATAGTTGGAGATCCAAGAAAACTTAGCTATATTCGTGAAATGGCAATATCCATATTAGCATTAAACGAGTTTTACTGTATTATAAAAAAGGTTTACTAAAGACAGATTTTATCTCAGAATTTCTATAGAATTACAATGGAAGTACAACCTTAAAGAATGTGATTTGAAAACATAAATTCAAATGCGACATGTATCATTTACTCATCTGGTTTTTTTGGGTCTTTCGATAATCACTAATGAAGAATTTTTCCTAATGGATTCAAAATGACACAAATAGCATTTTGTAGAATAAACATGCATTCTTTTCCTATGACATGTCAAACGTTGCAATCAATATTAAATCTTTTCCATTATAATGTATAATTTTCCATTTGTATTGTATATTTTTCATTTGTGTTGTATAATTTTTCATTTGTATTGTATATTTTTTTTTCATCATTTGTGACAACTTCAGTTACAAATGGTGGGGGAAGGGGGAGGTTCCGGCCCCGACACCCTTTTGGATCCGCTCATGGATTGCATTGGTGTTATTCATGAGAATAATATTTATTCATTTATTTTTTACTGTTTTATGTAGCTGACCGAGGAATATTTGAACCCTTATTGAGCAGATTTACGGGACCTAGATACGAGCTTGAGAGAGGTGTCGTTCTCAATGGAGGTATACATATTTTTGATAAATTTTTCATTGAGAAATCTTGCTTTTATATCAATGAAATTAAGTATTTTCAATATGTTACCCGCGACATATATAAGGATTAACCCCTTTCTCTGCGACTGTGACCCACTTAGTGCATTAGAACTATGCGATATCCTAACAGAAAAATATCGTTTTACTTTCAAGATAGTGGCATTTACTGCTATTCTAGTGTTTTCAAAGACTGAAACACAATTTTTTTTCTGTGATGACTTTTTGGCTATTTTTGCTAATATACCATTGTTTTTTATTGCAAAGCAAAAGAAGATTCCAATCGCAACTTCTCGGGCCTTTCCGACAAGCGGAAGTTTTTACCAACTTGACGGAAAGACCCGAGAAGATGCGATGAAAGAAGGTTGGACTAAAATGCACTCTCTGTTTCAGGCATCGGTGGCGGTTACGGCTATGGTCCAGAAATCATTAGTGACGTTGAATACACCGTTGGTGACGGCGGCTATTACCCAGCAGGCGGATTAACAGTTGGAGGTGGCGGACTCTACAGTGGCGGATTAACAGTTGGAGGTGGCGGTATGTACGGTGGAACAGTAGTGGGGGGAGGCCCAGTCTACGGAGGAGGTGCTGTTGTAGGCGCTCCAGTCGGTGGTGTAGTTTCTACTGGCCCAGTTTACGGCGGAGCTGTAGTAGGGGGAGGCCCAGTTTACGGCGGAGGTGCTGTTGTAGGCGCCCCAGTCGGTGGTGTAGTTGCTGCTGGACCAGTTTATGGAGGAGGTGGTATTGTAGGAGGAGGTGGCGTTGTAGGCGGTGGCTATCCTGTCATTGGTGGCCCTGTGGTTGTTGGTGGATACGGACCAGGTGTTGCTGGAGCCACCGTCGGCGCTGCGGTCGGTAACACTGTTGGTGGTGCCATTAACACCGTAGGAAATGTTGCAGGTGCCGCCGTCAATACCGTGGGTAATGTTGCTGGTGCTGCCCTTGATGGTACCGTCAACTTTGCCAATAATGTAGCGGGTGGAATCCAGGCAGGTCTGGGAAAATAAGGTAATTAATCAAACGTTCTTTTCAAAACACCCCATCGCTGAATGGCAAAAAGCAAAAAATTACCAAAATGCCAAATTTAGTGCAGTTTGATGAAGAAAATTAATGATTAATATTGATTTTTTTTTAAGCTTTCAGATCTCCTGTACCTTTGTGAATCAAAACTCACAAAAAATGACTAGGACTTTCTATTCGACTTTCCTCGACGTTTTTCCCTTTTCCTATTATACATCCATCTGTGATTACGGGCAGTCAATACTATAATAAACTTTTTTCTAATACAAAAGAGTTTAGAGTCTTCTTTTAACATAGGGATTTACTCTTTATTTTTACACATGGTGGCCATGTTTAATATACATTTCTACCTATTTTTGTGACTCGTGAGTTACAAAATTGTGGTCTTTCATTATAGTGGCACAAGATACACTCAGTTCAGTTTGATTTACCATAAGACATTTCCCACATTAAAATAAATTATTCAATATGATCATCTGTTTACCAAAAAATATTATTATAATTATGATTATTTCATGGCATGGACTTTCACCTTTGCAGAACGATTTTAAGAATTGATTTTATATAATTTATCAGATGGGATTTCACATATCATGGCTAAAAAGTACGAAATTTATTGAATAACTACGGAGATTTTTTCAAGCTGCATGTATTTCAAATTCGCTGTCTTTCGTTCTTTCTACTAAGTACCAATATCCACACCAATATAGGTACATGTATTAAGTGGAACTGAAGGAAACCAGAAAAACTCATGCTTGTAAATTTCGGCAACTCTATTACTATGTAGACTCATTCGTGTTTTCTAGCACTGAACCAAAGCTCTTGGCGATAAATTTAGATAGCAATGCATTTTACATTGTTTTAAAAAAAAAGAATTCAATCATTCACTACATTTTACATACACATGTAGTATAAATCAAAGATGTCATAGCAGAATGAAAAACCTACACTGTCGATCGACACTGAAGAACATGTATTTAGGCATTTTATTCGAAGGCCTTCTACTTGTCAAAAAAGATTTATTTTAATAACAAAATGATGCTAAGATCTTTAATGACAAAATATATTTAACTAAGGATCATTTTATATTCATTTTTATCCCTCCTTCTACATGCATGTACACCACAACTGGTTCTATTCCCACTTATTTCGTTTCGCGCAACATCGATTACCATCAAATTAAATGCGCAGTCGCAGACTTCTTAGATGTATGCCGTATAAAATCTCATGCACAGAGTATATGCAGCACGAATTTAAGAAGTCTATTTGTATAAGATTGCTGTATAAAAATCATATTTTCAAATATGAAAGGGAAAAAAGGAACAAAATGTTTTATATATACTATTTTATTTCATATTAAGACTTGATATGTGTTCCATAATGTCTATTGATAAAACCACTCTAAAAGAACGTTACACCGTAAAATCGGATTTCAAACAAGAAAACATTCTTAGAAAAATAACCATAAAAATTGATATCAAAAACATAAAGTGCATAAAAATTGCTATTTTTGTTTTTAAAAATACCCTCTGGTATAAACACGTACACATAACGTATCAATGTGCATACGACAAAACAAAGAAAAAAAATATATCTGCATGGTGGTTGTCTAATATCTTACTGAATGAGATTCTTGAAATACCGGTATATGTAACTGAAAACCACATTCAATCAACTTTCGCTCATTCTACACTGAGGAATGTAAAGCGAGCAGGCGCCATGTTCCCAGACCTCCATATTGGACATCGCTTTTGTGGTAATGGCAAGAGTTTCCATATCTATCGTCTGCACTGATTGGGCCTTACGTTGGTAGTTTCCGTTGATCCATCCGCCAACAATGTGCAATGTGTTGTTCAGTATCGTGTGGGAGGCATATAAACGAGGGTCTGGGAGGGTAATTAGAGTTTCCCAACTGTCTGTCACGTGGTCATAGCGATCCAGATCAGCCACCATGATTCGCTGTTGATTCTGATTCTCGTGCCATCCTCCCACCACGTAAATATGTCCCTGGTAAATAAACATGGCGTGGTCTGCTCTTGCTGTTAGCATGGGAGCCAGTTCAGTCCAGTTGTCGGATGTTGCATCATATTTATAGAAACTGGTGTAAAACTCTTCGTCTGTGTCTTGAAGACCGCCGGAAATATACAGCGCATCTTCAAACACCACTCCTGCATGTTGGGCGCGATTTCCGGGCAGAGAGGAAATGGTGGTCCATTTGTTTTCCTCTGGATGAAAACATTCACATGGGGCAGAGTCTAATGATACATCAATGCTTGCTGAAGGATCTCCCCCTATGGCATATAATTTCCCCCCAAGAGCACCAAGATAAAATCGACACCTCTCCAAGGTCATGGGTGCTATACTTTTCCAAGTGTCTTTTTCTGGATTATATCTGAATCCGTATTGATGAACAACTTCCTGAATTTGATCATTGTAGCAACCCCCAACAACAAATACTTCACTGTTTAATACTGTTAAGCCAAAATTGCACTGTTTGATATGTGGAATGGTTGTTAAAGTTTTCCAAGAGGTGGTTTCTGGATTGTAAAACCGAAGGTCATTGGTCATTCCACCATTGGGACTAAATCCGCCAACACAGATTAAAGCTTTTGTAAACCCCCTGTTATTGACCAGCCCTGAGTCAAGTAAACCAGCACTGAAATCATGGCAAGAATCATAGAAATGGCTCTGAAAGTTTGGATGTGGAGCAAGTAGGTGGTCAAATTCAACCTTATATGGCATAGTGCAAATAGTTGATTTTAAAATGTTTTCTACTTGTATAAGTTTCAGCAATGGCAAGAAATGCTGCTGTCTTGAGTTTAGATCATACCTGGTCCAGGTTACCACTGTGGATAACACATCTGTTTCAGAACAGTTCATGGGAAAATTACTCTTCAGTACACTTAAGAATTGGTCAGCGGTCATCTTGGTGCAGAACTCGGGAGTGATGGACACTTTGGTCCAGTTGGAACACATAAACTTGAGTACATTGGATTTCAATTTTCTAATACACAACAGATTTGTCAGTCTGAGCATGTCTATACAATTCTCAATGCTAAGGTGTTGTTTGAGGAAGTCGGAGCAGGCTTGAAGGACTGGCAACATCTGGACATGATTGGCCGACAAAAGAATGTCCTCCACGTTGTCTACAAAACATTAAACAGAATATCAATTTTATTGGATCAACCTTCTTAAATGCTGGGGAAAAAATTTGGTTTTTAAAAATTAAAAATTTTTCATAAATATTCATTTGATTAAAAGGTGAAACCTCTTCCAAAAGAGAAAAAAAATGTATGGTTTGCACTTAATATGCTATATGAACCTACCAAAATCCAATAGTAATTTGGATGAATAAGCAAAATCGATTAGATTTTTCATTCCATTTGCTGTTACTCCATTCAGTCGTATTGTCTCTCTCTGACACTCAACCAGCCCATCAGTAAACATGGCTCTGTAAATGAATATTAAAATGTGCAAAGGGAAATAACTCTTACAAGAGTGCCTGACACCCAGTCTTTCCACATACTTGGTAACTAAATGGTCCTCATTTAGTGCTTGTTAAATGATAAATCATTTTATAGAGAGGAACCAATTTCTTAATCTAAAGCAGTTACTAGTATTAGTTATGTCAATTTTAATTTGCAACTCATCATTTTGTCTCTATTGAAATTCATCTGCTTTTTACTAATTCTTGCAGCTAAGAAAACATTCTACATAAATACACATGTAGGAAAATTATTTGTGGACAAAATATTTGTGAATATAAGGTCACTGATTTGGTTGATACATTTCTTGTAAGAGAATAAAAGTCGATTAACAGTGTACAGATATTTTTCTTTCTATGTGTGACCAGAGAATAAGGGTTGTTTTGCAATACACTGATCTTATCCTTTTTACAAGTATAAGCATATCATACCTGAAGTAATCACTACAAGACGCCAGCACTACTCTGTGAGCTTGGAATGTCTGACCCTCCACAAGAAAAGTGACGTCAAACAATTGTTGCTTTTCTCGGAGATGCTTCAGACCCGCCAGGACACTGTCTCCGTGGTCCGCGGCCTCGAAACTGACCTGCTGGTCATCAGAGGAAGCCCGATTCCCTCGACCCATTGGTACAGCACTAGTATGCAGCACTACAGCCCTAAAAGTGTGCAAACAAAATCATTATAATAAAACTTTTTTAAAAAATACTATTTTGATAATTAGTAAAAGATTCAAATGATATCTTTTATTTTTTAATTTATTGGAATATAAGTTCTGTATGGAAGATAAATAACTTCACTGAAACTGAAAAACCCAGAGAAAAAGACTTCCAAACATCATTCATTGCAATAACCCCCCCCCCCCCCCCCAAAAAAAATTACAAAACAGGGAGGAAATGTTATGTATCTAAAAGCTACATGTATTTCATCAATTCTTGACATAAAATGTTTTTGTTTTTTACTTGATATTAAGTACATGCATTCATTTCTCCCATTTTATTAAAACTATTCAACATATATATTATTTATGAAAGTGATCTTTTTTTTAATTTTATAAAGAATCTAAGAAATGTGCCAGAGATCAGTAACATTATACTATGTAAAAAATATAGATATGTATGAAGGAAATAGCAAATTAATGGTTCCCCAAGTAAGGAAGCTATTTCCCAAAGCACACTCACATGCTCCTTTAAATATCATAATAATTTAATTATACTATGCAAGGAGATCCCATAAAAATGTCAAATTTTAAATTATCAGAAGATAAAATAAGAATTTTTCTAAAAAAGACAAACAAATTTCTACATACATCCTTGATTCTTTTGTAGACACACTGACACAGTACTAAATCCTTCCTGCATAACATTACAGAATATTTAAAACATCAAGCATTAGACCTAACCAAAACATTTCCTGGCCATAAACAATAAAGTGTGACAAACATTGGTGTATACATGTACCTGTATAAATTTACCATGTTTAGTACAACACATTTATTGCTCCTGGACAATGAACCCTAGGAGCAAAGGAAAGGACAGATTATGCTGGGAGGCCTGATAACATCTATATACTTGGATAGGTACTTAACCAGATGGATTGATAATGGTTATTTTAGGTCTACCTAAATAGCCTCAGGTTACATAACCTGAAAGAAAATAATAGCCAGACTGTTTTCACACTTCCTTGTCCTAATCAAACTGTGACTAATGGTTTCTCTCCAGTCTGTGTTATATAGATGAACCATACATGTACCTGTACCCTTATATAACTATCTCCCTCTCACCCTGATCCTCTTTCTAGCTTTTTCTGATTTGTTATTGAAAAAAGTGATATTATATTTTACATTTTGACAAACTATATAATTTATCAAATAGTTAGCAGTTTACAAAGTACAGCATTAAGAAATAATTGATCTAGTTTTGGGCTGTGACTGAGTGAGGTAAATAACAATTTATTTTATGACTTTGGGTTGAGGGTTCATTTAATGGGTTTTATCATGTTTATTAGAGTTGGACAGTGGGCACATAGCATCATAGCATGATAAACATGTATCAGGATATTATTGAATAAAATGGTTCAGCTGTTTATACACACAGTATTCATTACCAGGGGTCAAATAATACTATATAGACCCTTATATTCCGAATGTGATATAGATTTACAGGATAAAAAGTCCCTGGTTTGAAATATAACAAAAAACATCAACATTATTCTATACCCCCCCCCTCCGTTTTGAATATTGAATGATTGATCCAGCAGAAAAACAAGACTATCTTGGGGATAGAGCTTACAAATGTAAATAAATATATAGGCTAATATAATTTTCCATCTACAAAGGGTATCAAAGTCATGATAAAATAAATGTCTAGCCTATTTTTCGATATGCCCATATTGTCACAAAAAATCTAACAGTTGCTTACCTGAGTATCTTTCAAGTTTATTTTGAAATGCAGTCAGGACAAACAATGGTCTCTTTGTTGCCCATTTCTCCTGTTGTTATTTACACCTGACAAGTGCAATTCTTACTCATTCTCCAAAAATAACTACCGAGTTTGCACGACATAACAAAGACATTGTTTACTTCCGGTTTATCTGAAAGGGGAGTCTAAAATACGACAAATATACAAGAGTTGCGACTAGGTATCTAAAGCTAGAGATTAAACTAAATAACACGACTTGTAGTCTTTTTGATAAGTATTTAAAATCAATAAAAATAATTGGTCTCGATTTTCGTTGTTGAAGATTTGCAATCATTATAATGTTGAATTAGTCATTTTCGCAAGCCAAGGGTTTTCGGTCCGCGTCTCAATCTGGGGGGAGTTCAGCGGACCAAAAACCCTTGACTTGCGAAGATGTGAATTAGTTTACAAAGTTTGTTGAATTTTTCTTTTCTGTGAAAAAAGGGTAATGAAAAATTTCTTCTTCTTTTTTATAACAGATGAAAAATAAATTCATGAATCCTGAGCAATTTTTCTTGCGAATCGATTCAACTGAAGACATACCCCCTCCCAATTCAGATGATAAGGGTGTACATGTTTTAAAAACACGACTGTAAATAAAATTTTCTGATTCTAAAGTTGACATAAAATCATTAATGCAACTAACCCTTGTATTGCTGATTGAATGATAATTCTAATTATCAAGTTGAACGCCACGACAAGTGTTTGGTTCCTCTTGTATACAGGTAGGCACGCCGAATTCACAAAAATGAGCTAAACCTAGTTTCACAAATGATAAACTAGGTTTATCGACTGTAGTTTACAAACCGTGAACTATAGTTAACGATTTGTTAACTATAGTTTTCATCTGTAAAACTATATTTAACGGTTGTTAACTATAGTTTACGATTGCTAATCTAAGTTTATCTATGGCACGCCAAATTCACAAAAATGAGATAAACCTATATATAAACTAGGTTTATCGACTGTAAACTATAGTTTACAAACCGTAAACTATAGTTAACGATTCGTTAAGTATAGTTAACGATTCGTTAAGTATAGTTTTCATCTGTAAAACTATATTTAACGGTTGTTAACTATAGCTTACGAATGATAATCTAAGTTTATCAGTCTGTAATAAGCGTTTACAATAGATTTTGTTGATAAACATAGATTCACGTTTGTAAACTATAGTTCACAATCGTAAACTACAGTTAAGAGTTGTTAATCATAGTTTCACAAATCGTGAAACTATATTTATCAGATCGTTAACTATAGTTAACGGTTTGTAAACTATAGTTTACAAATCGTGAAACTGTATTTATCAGATAATCTATGTTTTGCAATCGCAAATGATAGTTTTCGGTGTTAAGTATAGTTTACGGTTGTGAGACATAGATTATCGCGTTAACTATAGTTTACAGATGTTAAATATAGATTAACGTTGTTAACTATAGTTTACAGTCCGTAAACTATAGTTTACAATCGATAAACCTAGTTTATCGATTGTGAAACTATGATTTGCTCATTTTTGTGAATTTGGCGTGCCATATTTATCTGTAACAATTCGTTAACTATAGTTTTCATCTGTAAAACTATATTTAACGGTTGTAAACTATAATTTACGAATGATAATCTAAGTTTATCTGTCTGTAATAAAACATTAACAATAGATTTTGTTGATGAACATAGATTCACGTCTGTAAACTATAATTTACGATCGTTAACTATATTTAAGAGTTGTAAACCATAGTTTACAAATCGTGAAACTGTATTTATCAGATAATCTATGTTTTGCAATCGCAAATGATTGTTTTCGGTGTTAAGTATAGTTTACGGTTGTGAAACATAGATTATCGCGTTAACTATGGCTTACAAATGTAAAATATAGATTAACGCTGTTAACTATAGTTTACAGTCCGTAAACTATAGTTTAATAGTTTATCGATTGTGAAACTATGATTTTCTCATTTTTGTGAATTTGGCGTGCCATATACAGGCGTTTTAAAAAAAATTCTGCTACATATGAATACAAAATTGGGCCTTCTAACAACGAGACGCAAATAGTACCCACTGGAATTCCGAAAGATGTTTGGAAGCCTTCATCTCCATCTAGGTATTGTCTATCTATGGCACTCAAATTCACAAAAATTAGCGAAACATAGTTTCACAGTTGATAAACTAGGTTTATCGACTGTAAACTATAGTTTACAAACCGTAACTATAGTTAACAATTCGTTAACTATAGTTTTCATTTGTAAAACTATATTTAACGGTTGTTAACTATAGTTACGAATACTAATCTAAATTTATATACATGTATCTGTTTGTAATGAAACGTTAAAAATAGATTTTGTTGATAAACATAGATTCACGTCTGTAAACTATAATTTACAATCGTGAACTATATAGTTAAGAGTTGTAAATAATAGTTTCACTAATCGTGAAACTATATTATCAGATCGTTAACTATAGTTAATAGTTGTAAATCATAGTTTAAAATCGTGAATTTGTATTTATCAGATAATCTATGTTTTGTAGTCGCAAATGATTGTTTTCGGTGTTAAGTACAGTTTACGGTTCTGAAACATAGACTATCGCGTTAACTATGGTTTACAGATGTAAAGTATAGATTAAAACGTTGTTAACTATAGTTTACAGTCCGAAAACTATAGTTTACAACCGATAAACCTAGTTTATCGACTGTTATGGCACGCCAAATTCACAAAAATGAGCTAAACATAGTTTCACAGTTGATAAACTAGGTTTATCGACAGTAAACTATAGTTTACAAACCATAAACTATATTTAACAATTCGTTAACTATAGTTTTCATTTGTAAAACTATATTTAACGGTTGTTAAGTATAGTTTACAAATGCTAATCTAAGTTTATCTGTCTGTAATAAAACGTTAAAGATTTTGTTGATAAACATAGATATGGCACGCCAAATTCACAAAAATGAGCTAAACATAGTTTCACAGTCGATAAACTAGGTTTATCGGTTGTAAACTATAGTTTACGGACTGTAAACTATAGTTAACAACGTTAATCTATATTTTACATCCGTAAACCATAGTTAACGCGATAATCTATGTTTCACAACCGTAAACTATACTCAACATTGAAAACAATCATTTGCGATTGCAAAACATAGATTATCTGATAATACAGTTTCACGATTTGTAAACTATAGTTTACAAACCGTTAACTATAGTTCACGATCTGATAAATATAGTTTCACGATTTGTGAAACTATGATTAACAACTCTTAACTATAGTTTACGATTGTAAACTATAGTTTACAAACGTGAATCTATGTTTTTCAACAAAATCTATTGTTAACGCTTATTACAGACAGATAAACTTAGATTATCATTCGTAAACTATAGTTAACAACCGTTAATTATAGTTTTACAGATGAAAACTATACTTAACGAATCGTTAACTATACTTAATGAATCGTTAACTATAGTTTACGATTTGTAAACTATAGTTTACAGTCGATAAACCTAGTTTATCAATTGTGAAACTATGTTTATCTCATTTTTGTGAATTTGGCGTGCCATACATAGATTCACGTCTGTAAAGTAAACTATAATTTACAATCGTGATATAGTTAAGAGATGTTGATCACAGTTTCACAAATCGTGAAACTTTATTTATCAGATCGTTAACTATAGTTAAGAGTTGTAAACCATAGTTTACAAATCGTGAATCGTCAAGCGCCTGTGAATGTTACTCAGAATTCAATAGCGTTGAAAATTCAAATGTATTCAAGAGGGTCTGGACTCGCGATCACCTCTAGATCCGCCCTTAAATGGGCTATTTTGTCATAATGGGACTCATTTTCTGTTGTACCGAAATAAGGTTAGAACAACTAGAAATTCAATAAAAAAAATCAAGAACAATTAGCCTTTCCCAATACATTTCTATAGAAGGTAATCATAAGCGATTCCTTTACTGTCCGTTTTCTATTTAAAACCGTTTTAATGAACCTGTATTGATTTAAACCCATATACAGCTATTTCAATAATGTTCAAAAGAGTTAGTGACCATTGAAGCTAAATGGGAATCATTTCAAAAGATTTCAATTAAGTTTTCACAAGGATGGCAAATCGAAGGCAAATCACACCCGAGTTTTCCATTTAGATATGTAGATCGGTACTCAGTGTTCGATAGTGTATCTGCAATCGATTCTATATAAACCTGGACGAATTTTTGTATACATTTTCTACTGAATGACATCTTATTATCACAGAAAGTCCATGTTAAAAGGATAAATATTCCTTTAACATTTATTTCAATAGCTTTTCTGATTTGCAAAATAAAATGAAATCGGGGCCAATTCGTAGTTATGAATGCCTTTGTATTGTGTACCCATCAAAGTTTAAAAACCAGCCGTATATATCATAGTTAAATTTCGTTCTGTTTCTTCAAAGTGCAAGTGGTCGGTGTGAAAACATGGATCATGAATTCTTTTGAAATAATATTAACGAGCAAGTGACAATGTTAGCCAGTGTACAATCGAAATTCAGTTTGCTACGCTGCTAAGACATTTTACCTTTTTTTTTTACTGCTATGCTTTGTCACGCTGAGTTTAGATAACCTAAAAAATGTGATCAGTTTTAATTTGGATAGTGATTACAAATTTTTTATAAATTACAGTTTTAATCAAAATATTGAAAAGTTTTTTTAGAATGGATTTAAGACATTTCAGCTGGGATATATTTTTCTTCTCTCTTGGGAATTTATTTTTGTTAACGGGTAAGTGGGATTTATATTTGAATTTGTAGAACCTAGACTTTATATTATAGGATCCATTCATTTGATTACATTTGGAAATTAAGATTTTTTGAAAAATAAACGAAATTCATGATGATAAAAAATATCACTTTTTTTAAATTCAGAGGTATTCTTGTAAGGAAAATCAAAAAAGTGTCTGTTTTTTTTCACGTTTTTTTTTTATTTTAATTCTTCTGAAATAATATTTTTTAAAAGGTGTTTAAAATTTGAATATTCATCGTAAATATAATTTTGAGATAGACTTGGACAACCGTGATCATGTAATGATGTACAAGTTTAATAAACGGTGTCAACCAAATTATTTCAAATTTTAAATATTAAAGACATTAATTTAAAAACTAAAAAAAAAAAAAAAAACTTGAAAAATACATTGTACATATTGATCGATGAAATCGAAGTTGCGATTTCTGATAATTTATTTACATAGCCATTATGTACTGCAGTGCAAATTATCAGATATTCGTCTTTGAATAATATTTTTGAACATGAAAATCGATATTCGTGGGGTGACACCAATTGAAAAAGACCGAGTAGAGCATGCAGTATACATTTCTTTAAATTCATTTTTCTTACAATCTATTCATTAGAATGCTTTGTGTTTCTGAAATGATTAATTACACGAGGCAACACTTGGCTTTCACTATCAGATTAGCATAATCATGGATATATGGGTACAGACCATTTAATCATGACGTTTTTTTTTTCTATGTATAAAAGCATTAAGCGTGCGTCATCATTTCTGAAGATTCGTCTCGCCAATTTCAACATTCATACTCCCCCTTTTTTTTTCACAATAGACATTAGGTATTACTCAAAAAAGCACTGGAACATTTACCACGAAAGCAGTCTTTTATATATCTATGAAAAGGGACAAGGTTCTACAAAAATCGTGACCTTTGAAATATCGTCCTTTTTCAAGAAAATGGCTGATTTGAATTTAATTAGAGCTGACGTGTCAACGTCATAAAGTCAGACATTTATATACATTTGTGATGTGAACCATAATAAAAGAGCTACAAAACTAAATAGGTGCTTAATATAAAACTAAAAAACTGAATAAATGGCACCATCTCAACAAATTTGACATTGGAATGGTTGGGTATGGGTGCCCTTTAATATCCTCTGCACCCTCCTTCAGGGTCCGTTGTCCATTGTATTTCTTTAGAGAATGAGGTGAAACACTTAGTATGACGGTATGGCTCGTATGGCAGCACAAGGTTAACTTAAAGGTTTTATCAAATAAAGGTTACTTTCCATGGTCAAGTGTCCAAATACACACGTGAAATACCAGTATAATAGCACAAGTACGAATCATGTCAGAAAATATGGCATAGGTTGAACATTTTTTAAAAATAGATCAAACTACAAGGTCAATGTCATGAGGTCAAAAATTATGATATAAAACAAAAAAAAATACAAAGGATAAATACGGGAAAGCCCTAGCTCCCATCGTTCGAAAGTTATAGACAAGGGATTTTTTTCTTTAGAAAAATAGATCAACTAAACTCAAAGGTCAAGGTCAAAGGATAAAAAAGGGGTAATCAAAGGGAAAGGCATTTTAAATATAAAAACTAGTTCCAACCGTTCAAAAGATTGGACTAAGGTTTTAAAGTTTGGTGGATTTTACTGAAGATTACAAAAACATTCAAAATTTATTGACAAGGTCAAAGAATTTTCGGATGTAAACAGATGAACAGTCAGACAGAAAACTATATGCCTCCGAATCTTTGATAACGAGGACATAAAAAGTGGAGAAAAGTGTTGAATGATAATTGTTATCCACGTGCAATATTTGAATGTATATTTATCATTTATAACTTGATGTTTAATAACAATCCCGAGTATTTTTAAACCCATTTGACCATGATTTGGTGACTCAACACAGAAATTAAATTAGAAGCAATGCATTTTTCTCTATAAAAATCTGATGATTGTATTTTAACAAATTTTACATAGATTCACATTCATTCTAAATACCCCTTTCTCCTGTATAGTGAATTTTTTACGATGCAATCGGGCAACAAACGGTAATGTCATTTCCTTACTTTATTTTGAATTACATAATTTCATTGGTTTTGCAGTCAGGTGACAAATTTCGTTTCCCCGAGAGATAGCTTTTTCATGATTCCTAATTATTAAATACTACAACAATACAATGACGTGCATGTGATTTACTATTTCACTTCTAAACTAACAATGTGCATATTATTTGCTTAATCCAAAGCTCCTTTTATTTGATTAAGTAGTATAAGACACAATGTAAATAGTTTCCAGAGAAAATTACAGCATTTGTTCTTGATACGAAGCAATAGTCTCACATCAAACTAAACGAATATAATTGCTTTTCTTTTATCTCAATAATGAAACATTTCCTTCATGCAAAAGGAATTAATGCCAGATTTGTTTGAATTATAAGGCATGAAATTCAAACGTTGAACATGCAAAGACTATTTCGATTTCTATTCAGTTGAACTTTGGTCTCTTCGAACTATATCTTAAGTGACGACTTTATATATATGTCAAAGTGAGTTGGAATGCTTCCCCATTTTTTCTTTATGAATATTGTATTTTAGCCTTATCATCTGGAATCCTTCGATATCTCAAAGTTTTTAACCAATCAAGCTTTCAAGAGATAAAAAGACTTGACTGTATTTTAATGTATTTTCTAAGAGACAATGCTAAATGGAATTAATAACATTAAGCGCAATAACTACTAAGACCTAACATGTAACATGTATATTCGGATACTGTAAAATTTGTAAAAAAAAAAAAATATCCCTCACATTAAACTTGATGAATATCATACTTTAAACATCACATACACTTGTCCAAACGTGTCCAAGAGTACTAAGTGCATTTATGAGGTAATGTGTCTTTAAAAAAGTAATGATTTTCTTTCACAACCAAGAAACCTTTAGCTCGCCACAATCCTTTACAAATCCCCTGAATGTCCGTAATCTTTATATTCATTTAATTTTTCTGGTCAAAAATCAATATGCACAAAGAAAGCCATGTTGCTGATGATTGAACATGCATTTAATTTGAAGTAAAATTTCGACGGCACCTTTATATGTTTAAGACTAAAATAGCCAGAACGTTTAGGCCTTTTTTTTTAAAGATTACAATTAAGAATGAAGATTGTTACAAAAAAGATCTTTCTGATTGTGAAAATTAATTTTAATAAGCCCCACCCTGAGTTTTTCTGGACATTCTCACTATTAGCACTAACGTCAAAGATCTGCCTGTATCAACTACTGATAATATTTTTGTTGCTGTCCATAAATCTATCGATGAGAAAAGAAGATTTAAAATTGACTTGCTATTCACTTAATATATCACTGGAAAATATTATATTTTTAGCTCACCTGAGCCGAAGGCTCAAGTGAGCTTTTCTGTTCAAAATTTGTTCGTTGTCTGTCGTTGTTGTTGTTGTCGTTGTCGTCGTTGTCGTAAATTTTTCACATTTTCATCTTCTTCTCAAGAACCTTTGGGCCAATCTCAACCAAACTTACCACAGAGTATCCTTAGGTGAAGGCGATTCAAATTTGTTCAAATGAAGGGCCACACCCTCTTTCAATGGGAGATAATTTTGAATTTGTGAAAAATTAATGGTATCTTTAAAAAATCTTCTCCTCAAGAACCACTGGGCCAGGAAAGACGAAACTCATGTGGAATCATCCTCTGGTAGCGTAGATTAAAATTTGTTCAAATCATGACCCCCGGGAGTAGGATGGGGCCACAATTGCCAATCAAAGTTTTTCATAGGAATATATGTGGAAAATCTTTAAAAATCTTCTTCTCAAGAACCATTGGGCCGGGAAAGATGAAACTTATGTGGAATCATCCTCAGTTAGTGTAGATTTAAATTTGATCGAATCATGACCACCAGGGATAGGTAGGGGCCAAAAAGGCCAATCAAAATTTTACATTGGAATATATAGGAAAAATCTTTAAAAAATCCTCTTTTAAGAACCATTAAAACAGGAAAGATGAAACTCATGTGGAAGCATCTTCAGGTTGTATAGATTCAAGTTTGTTCAAATCATGACCCCTGGGGGTAAGGCGGGGCCACAATGGCTGATCAAAGTTTTACATAGGAATATATAGGAAAAATCTTTAAAAGTCTTCTTCTCCAGAACCATTTTGCCAGGAAAGACGAAACACATGTGAAATTATCCTCAGGTAGTCTAAGTGTAGATCCAAGTTTGTTCAAATCATGACCAATTGGGGTAGGGTGGGGCCACAATGGCCAATCAAAGTTTTACATAGGAATTTGTCGGGAAATCTTTTAAAATCTTCTTCTCAAGTACTGCAAAGCCATGATAAGTGATATTTATATTGTAGCATCCTCAGGTAGTGTAGAATCTATTTTGTTCAAATTATAATCCCCAGAGGTAGGGTGGGACCACGATGGGGGATCCAAGTTTTACATTAAAAATATTTTTTTTTTAAATTTCTTTTCAAGAATAGCAAAGCCAGGAGTAGTGATATTTATATAGAAGCATCCTCAGGTAGTGTAGAATTAAATTTTTTCTAATCATAACCTCCAAGGGTAGGTTGGGGGTCTCAATGGTGGATCAAAGTTTTACAATAGGAAAATAAAGGGAAAAATCCCAAGAACAGAAAAGCTATGTTTAGTCATATTGACATGTAAGCGTCTTCATGTATTGTATTTAAATTTGTTCAAATCACGACCCTTTGGGGGAGGGAGGGAAACATATATATAATATATATATATTTTATATATATATATAATATATAAAAACAAAATTTAAAAAAAAAATCTTTAAAAACCTTTTTCTCAAGAACAGCAAAGTTATATGCTTTATCGATATGGAGGCATGTGGAAGCATTCTCAAGTAGTATCAAAATTCAAGCCACCCTACCCCATCCCACCCGTAAACTTTTCAATTCTGATCTGATTTATATTTATATATATATATGCTATATATATATATATA